ATAGCACTAGGCATTACAAGAATGGAATTAACATGTAATAGAGGCTAAATTCAACTCCCATCAATATTATATCATGTGTAAAAGAATGTTCCCTTGGGCTATTAGAGCAAATCCCAACTCATCCAGTTGCCAACTGAGTGATTACATTAAAAAGTAAAATTCTCTGAACTTCAGATTCTTTATATGTACAATGGGATTAATGATGCCTACTTTAGAGGGTTACTGGAAGGATGAAATAAATCACACATGGGAAACAAATTCACTCAGTAGGCAACTCACCACAATTCCTCCCTCTGATCCTTCCTTTCCTTTCTTAAAATTAAGCATCTTAGGAAAACTGTAGTGGTAATGGTTCATTCAAGCAGAATATAGATCCAGTGAAATCAGGATACTCTGGTTGTATTGATTTACTTTCTTTCCTCTGATAAGTAACAATACAGGTCTATGACATGTCTGTCTGTGCAGGGATTTATGGTTTTACAAAAGACTTGAACATGTCCCCTTCTAATCCTCAAAACAGTTCAAGGACGTGAGAGTTAAGAAATTCATTTGACAGATGAGGACTTACAGATTTAGAAAGTTAAATGTCTTGCCTAAAACAGACTACAAGGGCTAAAAATTGACTTTTAAGGCACTGATCCAAGTGTCCACTGCATTCCAACAGCTTCTTTTCCTGGTTCAAAGCTCTTAGTGAAGCCAAAGCCTGGTTATCTGGGGAAGGATGTTAATAGACACCTGTTACTATAGTAGATAGGTTATCTGCAGGCACCAAGCCCTGGGGTTCCGTCCATGGTCCATTGTTCTGATGATACCCTCCATCTTGTGTTCTAGAGCAGGGGCAGTGCCAGACTACTGCATCAATAGTTGAAGTGAAGCCCTCTCCACTATCTGCACTTATAATGACTTGGCTATTTTTGTAGTTATATTTAGGAATTCCGCCATGTATCAAGGAAGCCATTTAAAAGGCTATGGGAGGGATTAATCGAAGACAGCTTGTTTATCTTTCCATTAGTGGAATCCATAAAGCTGAAAAGAAGGATCCTGAGATAAGAAGGATTTACTTGGGATCCTATAAAAGCAAACCCACCAACTTGTCTGTTTCTTTGCTAACACAGATGAGGGACTTGAGAGAATTACTCAGCTTCCAGTAAGGCTGAGCTGGCAAGCACACAAAACCGGCAGATTATTATCATCTTTGCTCCCAGGGCTTTGGGAGGGGGTGTTAATGTTCCACTGCTCTTTGCAAGAAACAGACTTTTACATATAGTCCAACTGGTGATGGATGACCATGATTTTTCTTTGTCTTTCCCCAAGACAGGGTAATTGTGCATCATGCATGGCAGTCAGAGGTCATTTTTAATATTTAAATGACATGTCAGCTGAAGATTAAAATTTATAAAGTTCAGTGAGATCCCAGAGAAAGAGATGGGAAACTTCTACTTTCAAATGCAATAAAACACATGGACCTTTTCTTTCAGACTTAGGCATTAAAACATTGAAAATTCCTTATAATACTGAAAGACTACAGAAAGATCTCTCTCTCTCTCTCTCTCTCTCTCTCTCTCTCTCACACACACACACACACACACACACACACAGACATTCACACACATGTATTTTACATTAATAGATCATGAAGTTAATCTCAGAGAAAAATATTACATTTTGTTTTTAAACTCCTAAAATGTAATCTTAGGATGTAGCCTGTTGACTAAGCAATTAAATAAATAATGATGGGGAAACACAGCAACAGTCCTAAGTGGAGGAAAATAATGATCACTACTGTGATAATCATTACCTTGAAATATCCTCAGACATGTTGTAGAGATGATCTAATTATTTCCCTGCACATCCTCATGGGAAAGGTGTTATTATTTCCATCTTGAAAACAAATATAATACCTAGTCTTGATTTATAAGTGTCATTTTTTTCTGAGAAGTTTCACTATTTTTCTTATTCATCTTCAAAATATGAGACTCAGTCATTCCAAAATAAATAATTTTGTAAAGTTAGAGACAGAGTAGTATGTGCTTGTATGAACAATTGGTAAAAATTCAGTGGTTTCTAAACATTTTTAATCATATGTCCTAAGAAATTATAAAATGTCCACAAATGCAAAAATTAAAAAGATTTGGATACAAAATAAATATAACTAGAAATTCTAGTGCTTTTTCTGAACTTTCCTGGTTACCCCCCCACACAATGGCGCATGAGGAAGAGAGGCAGAGACATAATTAACCATAATTAATATGGTTCTTTTCTTCCTCCCTCATTTAAATAAGCCATAAATTTTACCTAGAACTAAAGTTCAAGGTAAAACAGAAGTAAGGAGTGAAAGAAAGAAAAAAAAGAAGAAATATATAGTATAATATAATTAATATAACATAAATATAAATATAAAAAGAGTCGCTGTTCTTAAATTCTTTTTAAATTTTTTATTTTATTTTTAATTGACACATAGTAGTTGAACATATTTCTGGGACACAGTACACTGTGATATTTTAGTATATATCCTACATTTAAATGCCACAACAGAGGAGGCTTCCAAAAGGGCTGCAGTGCTAGTTTCTCCATCATAAAATACTACAGACTAGGTTACTTAAACCACAGATACTTATTTTCTCACAGTTTTGGAGGCCTTAAGTTCAAAATCAAGCTGTCAACAGGTTTGATTTCTCCTGAGGTCTCACTCTTTGACTTGCAAATGTCTTATCTTCTTGCCAAGTCCTCACATGGTTTTTCTCTGTGCACACACATTCCTGGTGTCTCTTGATGTGTCCCCATTTCCTTTTCTTGTAAGGACACCAGTCAGATTTGATTAGGGCCCACTCTAAGATCCTTATTTTAACTTATCTCATTAAAGATTCTGTCTCCAAATAAGGTCACATCCTGAGGCACTGGGGGTAAATCTGTACCATGGGAATTTGTAGAAGACACAATGCAGCTCACATCAGGTGCGTTACTTTAAAAGCATCTTGTGCCTTTAGGGAAGGTGTTTAGAAATGTGTACTCACTCTACAGCATGAACTCTGGAGGAGAGAGTCAACAGTACTTCTTCAAGTTTCTGTCAGCTGGCCTGACTCAAGTTCTCCACCTAAGAACTCCCTAGGTGATTCTACACACCTGCTGAAGCATTCTCCCAACAGGTTATTGGAGACTTTCCAAAGCCCCAAAGATGAAGCTGCTCATCTTGGAATCCTATTTACATAACAGTTCTGATCAAGTGCTCAAGGAAAAAACAGTCCATTGCCACTTCTCTCTTCCTAAAAGATGACAGATGGCAAACAGACATTCCTCTTTTCATGTTTTGAAAGAAACACTTTTTGCTCCAAGCTCTTGTGTTTTCAGAGGGTCTTTCCACTCATGATTTGCTCCAGGGGGAGGGGGAGTAGGCTCACCATGAATGTCTTATGAAGAGCACATGCATTTGATCCATGCTGGCAATCTCTGGTCACATGGTCAACTGGAGAATTGATAGCCCCTCCTGCTGCTTCTGCACTAGGTGGACAAAGTTAAGTAGACCCTCAGTAAGAAGTTGGAGCCGTTGAACAAAGTCCTCAAGAAGTTCTTTCCAAAGTGCCACAAAACTCACGAATATATATTTTCAATCACTTCGAAAAGAGATGACATTCAATATCCTAATTTTAAAACATGTGAATGGGGATGATTTCCACATTATAAATGAAACCTGCATTCTAGGTTACTGTTAACTTCCTAGTTTCTTTATGTTTTTCTTCTTTCTTTTATTTTATCATTTTTGCATTTACTTACATGTGTATACATTGTTTGGGCCACTTCCCCTCTCCCCCCTACCCCACTTCTGGGCCCTAGTTTCTTTAAATAGCAAGCTTTCTGAATTTCTTTGTGCATATACAGTATAATTTAATTGTATATTTATATTATGTAAGAACATGGTGATTATAAAATCAGCAGAGAGTCAGGCCTGGTGTCTCAAAGAACGCAACATTTTTTAAATAAAAAAGTCAGTTAAAATTCATGCATGCGTTCTTTCATTTAACAAGCACGTCATCACCCAAGTGATGAAGATGGTATCAAAAACTAGGGCCAAAATGAAGAGCCCACAGGTAACTGGAGAAGAGAAGAAAGTAAACAGGTACAATTTAGAAAATGCAGCAGTTCTCATACTCAAGCACGTATCAGAATCATAAGGAGGGCTTGTTCAGGCCCAGATTTCTTGCCACATACTCCTCCATGTTTCTCATACAGTGGGGCTGAGAATTGGCATTCTGCCAATTCCTTGGTGCTGCTGGCTCAGAGAACATACTTTGAAAACCACTGATCTTGAGTTACAAGTATCCAGAACCATAGAAGTTCTGAGTAGGTGTTCCTAGCACTGGCTGTAGTGCAGGGAGATCAAAGAGAGTTTCACAGAAGTGAATTTTAAAGGGTGAGTGAAGAAGGATAAGGATCGAGGAACTGGAATATTCCTAAGTGTGCTGATGAGCCTACTTAGTTATAATGGACCAGTCAGAGAAAGTGCATATGTTTTTTAAAAAATGCAAAACTTCCATTTGACTAGGGAAGAATTTGAGTTTGAAATAGAGGAGATGAAGCTGGAGTACTTTATAAGGCCCATAGCTGTGATTAGGGGGCCTTGTTTGCATATTGTCCTGTAGGAAATTATTAAACCATTAATCCCGAGATTGACCTCCAACCAGAAGAAAATGACCCTACTAGAACCCTGTCCACAGCTATCTGTCTTCAAAAGAGGCTTCTTTCTCAGCTTTCCAACTTTTGTGAAGAAATGCCTTCACTGGACGTGAAAGGAGAGTAGGAAGGGTGACCAGTGAGCTACAGTGAGGAATCATTTGAGTACCTCACTAGCTAATTTGTTCATTATGACTGACTCTCGGAAAACCCCAGGCTTCTCTCTCATCACCAGAGGAGAGGGATGTTGGGCCTAGCAAGGAGAAACTGGGAGGGAAGAAGAGTCTAGTAGCATGACTTGTAATGAAATGTGCTTTATTCTTTCTCTCTAGGGGAAGATGACGATGACGATGAATGTGGGGAGGAAAAGCTACCCTCCTGTTTTGATTATGTGATGCACTTTCTGACTGTCTTCTGGAAGGTCCTATTTGCCTTCGTCCCTCCTACAGAATATTGGAATGGCTGGGCGTGCTTCATTGTCTCCATCCTCATGATTGGCCTATTGACAGCTTTCATTGGCGACTTGGCTTCCCACTTTGGCTGCACCATTGGCCTGAAGGATTCTGTGACTGCAGTTGTGTTTGTTGCCCTTGGAACTTCAGTACCAGGTAAAGGATGCGGTCATGTATGATTTTCCCAAAATCAGAAGCTCATTAGCCGTCTTGGTAAGAAACTAGGCCTTTGAAGAATGTCACTACTCAAGTACATTGTCAAATACTGGCCCTTCTCAAGGTTAAAAAGCTGGCCAGTGTCACTATGCTGACAGGAACACATTCCCAGAGGGTTTCCATGGCCTGCAATGCATAAAACAGTTTGGTTTGATGGATATATTGTCAGATCAGCTTTCTCTTAGAGTAAGCAGTTTGAAAACCATGAAACAAAATACAGACTCATTGTTAAGAACAAAATTCTGTCACTTATATATTTAATAAGATTTGAAGGATTTCCATGAAACTGTTTATATTTGAGTAGCTAGATACTTGATATAAGAAAACAAACATTCTCTTGACCCAAAAAAAAAAGTAAGTAGATATTAATCAGAAAAAGATAAAAGTAATCTTGACAAAAGTGAGCTAAAGCATACATTTTGTGGACATTTCTTCACATATTTTTCTACTATAGTACAACTGTATTCATTATGTTTACTCAAAGATCTAAGTAAGACATCTGTGTAACCCATCATCACCCCAAACTTTAACGTCAGCAATTTTCCAATTTTGGTGGACATCAGAATTACCTAGGAGCTTGCTAAAAGAATGTAAGTCTAAGATGCATCTCCAACCCATAGAGGATTCAGGGGTAAATCCCAGAAGTGTGTGTTTTAAGCTCATCAGTGACTGGTAAAATAGCACGGCTTATTGTAAGTGAAATTCTGGGCCTACTCCCTAGCACTACTGCATCTTGACAGATGTAAAGCCTTAACTTAGAGCATCAAGACACATTCTCCATAGAGTAGCAGGCTGAGGACAGCTGTGCAGCGGGCTTGGACAAAGGCAGAACTGGAAGCAAATACAGCCCTGCTAATGGTGCCAGTCACCATTCATTTTCCACTTTTACATCCACCCTGATCTAGATGCTCTGATTTCTACTAAAGCTTGTCATAGTTGGCAATCCTGGCTTTGGTGTTGAGTCTGAAAACAAGGACAAAGATAATATGAATGGTCATGTCTCAATAATGGTGACACATTTTGAGAAATGCATCATTGGGCGACTTGTTATTCTGTGAACATCATAGAATATACTTACTCAAACTAAGATGGCTTTGATACCACCAGGCAACATCATCTTATGGAACCACCATTATATATGAGGCCTGTCATTGATCCAAAGGCCTATCATTGATTACATGGTGTATGCCCACGTTTCTTTTCACTGGAATTGACTAGCTCTTTGTGTAGATAGTTATCATCTCAATAACTCAAATTGCTTAACCTCCCTGAGCTTCAGTTTCTCAATTTGCAAAATAGGGATAACCATACTTAATATGCAGAATTGGAAAAAATACTAAACTATGAATTATGCATCTAGTAAAGCATCTGGGACCTAGTGGCTGTTATCATTACAGTTTTTGTTGAATAATTTAGGATGATCTGACCAGTGCAGATTCATAGCTACTTGATTAACTCTGAGCAGCTTTGGATGAAGTGTTCAGATTTATACTAATCAGCCATAACACATGGTGTTATCCAACTGTTTGACCACTTGAGGGTGGGAGTTCTGATTAAGAAGTCCACATGGTTTTGGTGTCCAGCTGAGTTAATGGACACTGCAAGGACTTAAAGAGGGCTCCTTCTCCCCTTGGGTGAGGACAGTTACTCTGCCTCCAGATGACTGTGGGTCCCCAGAGACAAGCATTCCCAGCTTTGTTCCTACAGTTCCACATTTGCTCTCTATTTTGAACTTTTTTTTCTCCAAAACCTACTAGAAATTATCCAAGCAATAGGAAAACTTAAAGGCTGAACATGATGGTGCCTCACGCCTGTAATTCTAACTACTTGGGAGGCAGAGATCAGGAAGATCACTGTGTTAGGCCAGCCAAGGGAAAAAGTTAGCTAGACTCCTCAGCCAACATAAAGAACTAAAATAATAAAATGTCATGCTTTTCCATTATTTCTATTTGAGGTTCTTGTAGGAAAATATTTTTTGGGGGGGTCTACCTTCCCTCAAGCTTAAGTCACTGCATCAAATGATGTCCAAATGAGCACACACTGTAGGCCTGAGTTTATAACTCTTGAAGAGAACATGTGCAAATTATGATAATAAAGGCAAATTTAGGTCTTTCATGTCAGTTATCCAAAGTCAACCTGCCTTTATGAAAAGGCAGCCGTTATCCTATCAAAGACTTCTCTTGTTTTCAAGAGGATAAAAAAAAAAAGTGCTTTTCTTATACCAAATCCTCATTCCTAAATATGTTTTTTATTTACAAATAATACAAGAGCGTTTTTCCACATGTCAGTCTTCAAAAATGCCTCTGTGTATCTCTTATTTTATTAACCTCTTTTGAAAAATATGGTAGCCATGTGATTTAAAGAAATTTTTTTTTCTGTAATACAGTAAGCCTTAATATTTAGAGAGTCACTTGTTGTGCCCCTCAAAACCAAGGGAGAGACATTAAAAGGTAAGAAAACCTGTTTGGGGAGAATCCAACAGTCATTTGTGTTAAAATGGCTTCCCTACACTACCGTAAATGCTTCTTCATCAGGACAGATTCCTTTGCTGTGTTTTGGGGACAACTTCTGTAATTTGATGCAATATGAACTGTGAAACATGTTCCCCAATGAATGTATTCACAGGTAACTTTGGATAATCCTTTCTATAAACAGTCCTATCCCCACAGAAAGCTATGCAAATTGAAGCCAATGCTAGATGAAAGCAATACTTCTGTCTGTATTTCAACCCTCTTGATTCAGAGCTACGTTTTATTATATTTCTTGACTCCTAAAAATAAAATTAAAATAAACTGATGCTATTGTTTCTAGATGACAAAGCTCAGTTGCTACAGGTAGAAGAATTTTTAAAAAGCAAAACTAATTCTCTTCACTTACAGCCTACTATGAATCAGCATGAGCCCTGGGGCCCAGCTTTTTCTCTAGGCTGATGTCTTGGCACTTTTCCTAAAGTAGGAGGCTGCTGCCTGGTGTCTGATGAACTGCTGCCTCTTTCTAGGTGACACTCTTAAATTCTTAGATTGTGATGGTCAGACAGGCATTGAAAACTTTCTGATGCCAGTCCTTCTGCCTCAGGGCAGGTTTAAATATCCACGTATCTCATTAAATACCATATTGTTCAAAATCTATGGAGGAAAAAGCTTATGACTTTCCAGGTGAGACACAGCTTTTTCCTCATGCCAGCTGGTATCAACTTCTCATTAAAATTTGTGGATAATGAGGGACTTCCAAGGGTCTTCACCCACCCCAGCCCTTGATGTTCCTATAACAGTTGGAAGACCCACTCCTGGCAGCAGAAGAAGGGCCCTTTTCCCCCCTGAATCACCATTCTGCAAGCCTACCTGTCTGGAACAATCTCTTCTCACCTTGAAATATTGAAGTGAGCCTGGTCTCTAGCCCCTTTTCTCTTTTTGTCTTTTCAGGCCATATTGGAAGTAGACTTCATGTCTTAAATATCATCTATATGCTAATCATTGCCAACTGCCTATCTCCAGCCTCTGCTTCCCCCTGAGCTAGACTCATGTACAACTGCCTTCCCTGTATCCATACTGGGTGTGAAATTTGCAGCTGAAAATTGCCATGTCCAAAACAGAACTATTGATTTCTACTCCCCAGTGACCTTATCCTTTTCCTCCTCCCCACAGAAAATCCATCTCTAAGTCCTGCAGACCTTTCCTCTAAACTGTAAATTGATCAGACTCACTGAACTCTCCCCACCACCATCTTACTCTCCGCAGCTGTCCTCTTTCACCCAGACTCTCTGTAGTTCCTGTCTCCTGCTTCCTCTGGAGATCATTTAAAGATGTAAATCAGATCACTTTATTGCTTATAATCTTCTATTGGCTTTTCTCACTCAAGGTAAACTCTAGAAGCATTATTCTGACTTACAAACATCTAATGCCACTTGGCTCTTCCCTAACATTCCATTCTGTTCTCCTCCTTGCCCACCAGCCTTCTGTCCTCCGTACACCAAGTTCATTCCCTTCTCAGGGCTGCCATTAGCTGTCTAAAATGCTCTTCTCTGTCATTTATACAAGACTAGCTCTTTATCTGCAATTGTATTCCATCTCAAATCATATATTCCCAGAGGACTTTCCTAACCACAAAAAAGAGGTCTATCTATTCTGCTGTACTATCTTACTATTTTCTGTAGAGTATTTTAAATTTCTGATTTTTTTGGCTTGTTTTTGAATGTTGTTATTCTCCATGCTGAAATGCTAGTCTCAATGTTAATGAAAACATCGCTGTCGTCTGTCTCTTTTTCTCTCTTTCTCTCTTCCTCCCTTTCTCCCTCCCTCTCTCACTCTGTGTGTATCTGGATCCTAGAATAGTGCCTAACACTTAAGTAATACAATTCTGTGTGTGTTGTATATATAATAGAAGGTACAAATAATTTACACATTACTGTAAGTTGGTTCAATCAGATTGCTTTCTACCTACCACCTTCTAAAGACTGCTAAGCTTTAAAATTAAGATTATTGTGTAAGAAGTGGCTATTTTTATAGTGTGGCTGATTCTTGAGGAATAGTATATATCTGAGAGGATTATTGCTATAAAACCTACGAACACCAAGGACCTCCAAATAGAAATCTTTTTCTTCTCTCATAATTTTGTGATGAGCAGCAAGAAAGTTTTTGTCCCTTCTTCATTCTTTTCTCTTTTTTAAAACTTCAAGTACACTCACTCTGTGGAATGCTAAGTAAACATTTTGCCTGACCTGGGTCCATAACTGTACACATTGTATCTATGGAAAAGCAGGCTCAAAATTCAACGGGAAAATAAGAGAAGGCATATTTGGAAATGAGCCTTTTTAAAATGAGGGACCTCCTATCACTGTACATTATTTTAGCCTACAGTTATTTTCTAGTATAAAATGAGTATATTGAGCCAAATCATTCCTGTTTATATACTAGTTTCCAAATATGGACTTTCCATCCATC